ATACTAAATAAATTAAACTTCAAGTATACTTCTTTTTGCTAAGGGAACACATGATACACATGAGTCTCTGATAGAGGACATTTGCAAACTGAGGTGTACCACAAACCCACACACACAGACCAGTATTTGCAGTTTGACTCCCATCACCCTTTGGAGCACAAATTAGGAGTCATCAGGACTCTGTACCACAGAGCAGACAGTGTCCCCACTAACTTAGGAGTCAGGCAGAAGGAGAAATCCCACATAAGACAGGCTCTAGAGCAATGTGGATATTCTAACTGGGCCTTCCTGAAAACAGAGAAGAAACCCAAACAGGACTCCAGTCAGCCATCAGGTGAAAAGGAGGAACCCAGAACAGTGGTCATTCCATATGTTCAGGGAGTATCAGAGAAACTGAGACGTTTATTTTCTAAACATAACGTCCCAGTGGCTTTTAAACCCCAAAATATATTACGGCAAAGACTGGTTCATCCCAAAGATCCAGTCCCCCGGCACAAACAGAGTAATATTGTGTATGCTGTTCAGTGTCAGGAGGGTGATCAGTCTTACATCGGGGAAACTAAACAGGCACTGGCCAAAAGGATGGCCCAGCACAGAAGATCAACATCATCAGGCCAGGACTCTGCGGTCTACACTCATCTCCAGGCCAGCGGTCACTCTTTCAGGGATGAAGATGTTCACATCCTGGACAGAGAGGAACGATGGTTTGAGAGAGGAGTAAAGGAGGCCATCTTTGTGAAGAGAAATCATCCATCATTATTCAGGGGTGGAGGACTCCATGTTCAACTGTCCCCCCTCTTACAATGCTGTGATTGCTAGTATCACTCAGCCCTCTGTGAATAGTAAACAGACATCAGTGTGCTAATGATCCATTGTTAGGCTGATGGTCCTTCTTGAGCATGTGATCAGCTGGTTTTGGTTGTCAGCAGCAAACTGGTTGATCCACTCTGAGAAGGTGCTATTTATAAGACTGAGCTGAATACAGCACCTCAGACTGAAGAAGTCTTTCGGATGATAGACGAAACGCTTCTACTTTTTTTTTTTTTTTTTTTTTGCTTTGTTTTGTTTTTTGAATGCCCAGAGGACCAGATTTAACTTTTGTTGAGTTTTCTATCTGGATTGTTGAGCATGCATCAGGAGATTTTTGCTTTATGTTCATAGAAAAAAGTGATCTTTTAAAACGTCCAATTTCAAGGTTATGAAAGTGTCTTCCAACATAATTAGCTTTTTTTATTTACTTTTACAGAAATGTCAAGAAAATTTTAAACAAGCATATATAGACCAAAAGCTTTATAAAGATTATGTCCAGTTGGGCATAATGTTGTGCCCATGTTCAGTTTGTTTGGCTATTCAAACTATGTCAAAATGGCCCTTTAGAAATAAAATGCACTAATTTCTGCTTTAATAACAACACAACAAACACAATATGTTGGCACTGCATGGTCAAAGACGTCTGACAGTGAGATTAAAGGTTTGTAAACAGGCACATCCTGGAATGTACCAAAACTGGAATATGGGGGGGTACTTAATCAGGTTTGGGTTAATGTCTGAAATTTCAATTTAAAGCAATGCAATAAAAGTCCAATTATTTTAATTAATTTATATATTGTGTTTTAATGTATAATAAAAATTATGAATACAATTCAAAATATTATGTTAGTTATAAGTTTTTCCGCCTAACACCCCCTTCGATATTCAGGAAGTGAGCCAGGCCGGCAGCGCTCGGTTCAGGGATCAGCTGAGTTTGTGGATCCCGCCCCGCTGTGAGCACCATAAACCCCTTTTCTCCGGAGCTGGTTCACTTTACATTTTAAATTCGAGCATTCGTAGCCTGGAAGATGCCCAAACCTGAAGCGGGATGTCTGTTGTTCGAGTCCGGCTGTTGTGAATTGAGTTCCCGGAGCATCTTGAGCTGCGTGTTTTTCAGTCGGTGAGTCATCAGGATGCACCTGATTTTAGCTAGCTGTGTTTGCGACATTTCTTACTCTGTTTGTTGTGTCCTAAAAGTCAGAAAAATACAACATTTGCGTATTAACACAACAAAATAAACCCATTTATTCCCATATTACGTTTTAAAGCCAGTTTGCTTGCTTTAGTCTTGATATTCATTTCAAGTGTTTAAGCTAGCTGTGGAGCAATGGTTTTAAATGGAGTGAAAATGGTCTCATCGTCTTTGCTGCAGTTTGATTACCATCCAGCTTGTGTTCTGATGGTGTGCCGTTACATAACAGTACTGTATTCAACACTGATACTAAAACCACAAGCCAGATAAACAAAACTGCAGCAGCCAAGTGTAATTTGGCCTGAGTTTACATTAAATCTTGTAGTTTTGGTGTCAGTCAGGTGACAGCTGTTATGTGTCCACCCTCAATGCACACACAAATGCTTGTAGAAGGTCACAAGTGCATATTTATTTAATATTGTATGTCTTTTGTGCTGATGCGTCCAGTAGGGAAGTGAAACTACATGAGAGCTTGGCCCACACAATTTGGTTATCAAGGTGTCAAATGCTACTAGACGTGGTTTGAAGATCCTTCTTTTGTTCATGCTGACATGAAAATGTGGACAAGAAACACTGTCAGCAGAGCTGTTCAGAGATAAGCAAGGCCTCATTTCTTGCTTCTTTAACACTTTATTGTTGAGCACTTACAGGACTGCAAGTCTTGGGACTCGTACTTGAATCACAAAGGCAGTTTGGTGCCATTTATTTATTTTAATATATAAAGAACACACTTTGGTGCACATACAGTGTATTTAAAACTTGGCATGTAGTTGATCTGAAGAATGTCATGGCTTTGCTAATTTTTGTTTTCTTTTTTCCTGGTTTTTAAAGACGGGATTTTCAGATACTGCAGCTAGTGTTTATTAGATAACCTGGAAATCTCTTAATCAAGACCAGAAAGTCTTACTCCTTCAAATCAAAGATGGGAGTGGTTACATTTTTTGCATAGTGCTGTGTCTTTACACTAGACATGATGTTTCTACTGGAAAAAACCCAACACTTTGGAACATGAAGAGCCTGAGTAACAGATTGTACTATGTACCATCATGTTGCTTTGAGCAAAAGTGTGTCCGTCGATAAAAAGATAATGCATCAGCAGATTTATCTGTGTACGCATTTTCTTTAAAGTGTTAGGTGATGAAAGACCCTTTAAATGCAATGCAGATGTAACAATAAAGCAGGAGTTTGTAAACAACAAAAACTCTTTTAAAGACATTTGGTATTTTTGACTAAACCTACTTTTTCTCAGCCATAAAGGGCATTTTGTCAAAAACGAAAACAAACTGTGGCGTCAGTATATGTCTGACTCTGACCAATATTATTGACCTGTTGTATCTTACAGGAGGTAAACATGTCACTGTTGATATGCTAAATAGGTCATGCATAGGTTTTTTACCCCCACAGGCTTACTTTATATTTCAGTTAGTTTAAATGGTGTGTGTTTGCATGCATTTGTGTATGTTTGTCATTTTGGCAAAATACCTCCTGAACCAGTTGACAGATTTTAATGAAAATTTAGAAAGTATTCTTTAGATGGTCATACAACTCATTCCCCATTTCACCTGCCACTGGATTAAAGATTTCCTCACTGATCGACCCCTGATGGTGAAACTTAGCCATAATTTATCCTCTACCCGTATACTCGGCACAAGCTCTCCACAGGGATGTGTACTGAGATCCCTTCTCTTCTGCCTTAACGCCCATGACTCACAAAAGTAACACCATAGTGATGTTTGTGGACAATACTACGGTGGTGGGATTGATCTCGGGAGGAGATGAGTCTGCCTACAGGGATGAAGTCCTGAGACTAAAATTGTGTCACCAATCTTGCTCTGAAAATCACTAAAGAAAGTCCAGTCAGATTTATTTATATAGCACATTTACACATTTAAAACGGGAACTGTTACCAAAGTGCTTAACAAAAAGATCACAGCATCAAATAAAAAGTAACGAGATAGAATTACAGCATATGGAAGAAAAACATAAAAACACAAAATATAATCAGAAACAATGAAATGCTAAATCGGATCACACTGTGTTAAATGCCAATGAGTACATGCAGTAGTTAATTTGAGCCGGATCCTGCCAGAACAAGATCCGGGAACTCTCTCATTTTGATCCGTTCTGTTCTGGCAACTCTTTGTTCGGATCCTGCAGCTCCGCCCCTAAAAGTCCAAAGTCATCATGCATTTTTATTTTGATTATTTATTTTAAAAATACGAGAGGAGACATTGCCCTTTGCCTGGTGGACCCAGTCTGTGGAGTGGATGTTCCAGCCACAGTACGTGCCACACGCCAGCTACACGCTCCTTCGAGGAGCAGGAGAGGAGCCTCTGGGGGCGGGGGGTGGGGGGAGGGCTTAGTACGGAGGCTCTGTGTAGAGTCCTTCTCTCCTCCTCCTCTCCAAATATTGTCCATAATCAGTGGGGCTGCGAACTGAAAAACACCCCCTCTCCCCTCATATCAGACCCCCGAAACAGAAATGATAATTTATTCAACAGAATAAATAAATGCCCTCTGGACAGTGCACATTATGCACAGCGTCTCCAGACAGCTCTAGCGCGCACATCAGCAGATGTCTGAACTCCTGCTACATTTGAAATAATAAATTAAAAAGCTTACTGTAAAAAATAAATTAAAAATATAAAAGGAGAAATGTTTGATGTGTTATTCACATTATACGTCATGTTTCAAAATAACGGCGCTAATTTTACAAAATAACAACAGCGATCAAAAAGACAGTCCAATTTACTTAATAAAAAATGGATGGATGGATTGTCCTTAGTTGGACAACAGAGAATTGAAGCCTTCAGGTGCTTCATACGGTGCTACGAGACTGGAGCAAGCGCGGAGAAGAGTTCAGCTCAGAATCGTGAAGTGAGGGGAGGAAGGAGAGGGGTTTAGGACACCTGACAGAATCTGAGCTGCTCATTCACACGCAACCTGCTGTTCCTCTCCAAAATAGTAATTTTATTGTTTACAAATGTAGGTAAATGTTGATGTATAACAACCTGTTAAAATTAGGGGTTGAACGAGTATATAATTTTTAAACTCGACATTAACATAATAAAACCCGAGTAGAACTCGAGTATTTGATGACATCATAGATCTCAAGATACAAAAATAAATAAATAAATAAAACCGCAATAAAAGGTAATTATTTACAAAAAAAGAGACCAACAAAACATTGGGAGCATATATTATGCTCCTACCATTTATCATACTTCAAATAAGTCACAGGAAAAACTAAACTATTAGTTATTATTATTGAACTGCAAACGTGAAGAAACGCAGCACATCAGAAATGAAACTTAAAACAGTGGATGGGCGGTGGATTGGATCTGGTGTTACACTAAACTCTGTGATCTGCAACAGTGCAACACCGCCCCCTACGGTCATACGGTGGTCACATAATATGACGTCACTACGGTTACTCGACGTTACATTTTTAACCTCGATAGATGTCCTAGCAATCGATGTGTAGATTACTCGAGTACTCTGTTAATGCCCTAGTTAAAATACACCAAAATGCAGGAAATGGCATCTCTGTTATTCAAAATTTTCTGTGAGAGGACCCCCGACACCCCACCCCCAGCCAGCCCACTGTTCCGGCATCAATCAGCTTACAAATTAAGCCCGGAGTACAGTTGTGTTTTAAGGAGAGATTTAAAAACAGATACTGAAGTAGCCTGTCGAATGTTTTTGGGCAGATTATTCCAGAGTTTAGGGCCCATGACTGAAAAGGCCCAATCTCTGAGCTTAAGTCTGGTTTTTGGTACAAGCTAAAGCAGCTGGTGCAATGATCTCAATGCCCGAGAAGGAGCACAAGGATGAAGAAGGTCGGAGAGGTATGAGGGTGCAAGGCCATTAATGCATTTAAATGTCAACAGGGGAATTTTAAAATCAATTCTGGCACACACAGGAAGCCAGTGAAGGGAGAACAGAACCGGTGAAATGTGCTCAAACCTGCGAGTTCCTGTTAGTAACCGGGCTGCAACATTTAGGACAAGCTGGAGACGTGAAAGGGACACCTGACTGACCCCAACATAAAGTGAGTTACAGTAGTCCAGCCAGGTTGTAACGAGTGCATGGACTCATTTTTTAAAGTCGGATCTGGACAGCACGGACTGAAGCTTAGCTATCTGCCTTAGCTGAAAGAAGCTTTTTTGCAGAACAGAGTTGATCTACTTAATAAACTTAAAGTCTGAGTCTAAAACTATACCGAGATTGGTAACAGACTGCTTTAGATATGGCAGGAGGAAGTCCAGGTTTACAGGATCAGTAGCTATGTTTACATGCGCAGAATTCTTTGACCGGATTGAAATGTGTTCTGTTTGAATAATTCAAATGTATCGTTTACATGGGCACAATCCGTTCACGATGTGCGTTTACATGCAACGGGCTTTGATTCTGAACAGAAGTACTGACATGCGCAGAGTGGTAAACTCTCCTTAAAAAACCACCGAAGAAGAAGTTACTTCCGTGTAAACCATAGAAGAAGAAGTTCTCTTTCCGGGACGAACGTAAACACACTTGAGCGACAAAAATGGACCCGCGACAGGTTTTAATGACTGTGATGGAGTTGTTACTGCACTCCCTGCTTGAGCTACAGGCGAAGCAACGCATGCTTTTAGTCTTTTTTCTTCGTAGGATGAGAGCGCGGAAGGAAAAATACATCCGAGAAAGTTCTTTGCTGCCGACAAGTTTAATGCTGCTGCCACTACCTCCACAAACGACCAGAAACCAGTGGATGAAAGTTCGAAGTAAAGACTGGTGGGAGCGTGTGGTCCTCACGCAGTTCACCAACCAGGAGTGGAAGCAGAATTTTCGCATGACACATCTGTCTTTCACAAAGTTGTGCACTTTGATGGAGAGTCATTTAGCCCCAGAAGAGGTGACTGTTAGAACTCCAATTCCGCTCATGATGCGAGTTGCAGTTGTTCTGTATAAACTGGGCAGCTGTGCCGAATAGCGAGTCATTGCAAATCAATTTGGAATAAGTAAGAGCAGTGTTAAAAATTGTGTGTACACGTTTTGTAAAAGCATGGTGAGAGGGCCAATTAAACAGCTGATCCGAGCACCAACTGACATGGAGGCACTGGAGATCGCCAGAGCTTTTGAGGCTTCCCATCACATCCCTCATATTATGGGTCTCATCGATGGATCACACATCCCGGTTCTTCCCCCCTCTGATGGATATAAAGACTTTGTTAACCGTAAAGGCTGGCCATCCTATGTCCTCCAAGCTGTTGTGGACAACAACTGCTGGTAAGACAAATACACGCTGTATGCTTAAATAAACTTGTTTTTCTTTCTTTTTCTACCTGTCTATGCTTGATACTGTCTGTGTCTGTATTTATTATTAATTACTGTTCTTCCTCTGTTTTTCTCAGTTTCTGGAGCATCAGTTGCAAGATGCCAGGCAGTGTCCATGATGCCAATGTCCTGCGCCACTCTGACCTCTATCAAAGGGCTCATCTAATGCCAAAAGTAAGGTTAATATTTACTATATTGTATTTATTATTTCTACAACTATAAACTATAAAGTAGAGATACTTAGCTGTAAAATTATTTTTTTAAATGTTTGTTAGAAGCATGCCTTTAAACAAATGGTTAAATGTTGCCAATATTTGCTATATTGTATTTAGTATTACTACAACTATTACAGCTAAGGTTCTCAAAGTAGAGATACATAGCTGTAAAGTTTTATTTAAAAAAAAAAGTTTGTTTGAACCATGCCTTTAAACAATGTCTAAGTAAAATACTAAATATTAGTATGTCCTTTTTTTGCAGTCTGTGAGGAACATTGACGGAAAGGACGTCAGTCTCCTCGTTGTTGGTGACCCTGCATACCCGCTGTTGGACTGGCTCATCAAAGGATACCCAAACTCTCCTCGTCTGACTCCTCAACAAGAGTCATTTAATGTTTACCTTAGCTCAGTCAGGGTGGGCGTAGAGATGACCTTCGGGTTGCTGAAGTCACGGTGGAGAGTTCTTCTAAAAAGAAGTGACTTTCATTTCACCTTTGCTCCAAAAATGATCGCCACCTGTTGTGCACTCCACAACTTCTGCCAGAGGGAGAGGGATTATGGCAACAGCAACTGGTTGGAAGAGGCACGTGACCGTGCAAACAACTACCCTCAGCCTAACTAGCCAGTGAATCTTCAGTGTAGTGTTGGTGGAAACGGTGCAAGAGAGGCACTGACTGCATATATGTCCAAGTTTCCACTCCGTACAGGCCATCTGCATTAAAGGGTCTTTTTAAATATACAATATATACTTGTCATGTATGTGTTCAGATGCAGCTAACATTTGTATAAAGATATTATAACAAAACGGCAAATAATACTAGTGTACATCGGAGCTCTTTAATGGACCAAACATTTTAATAAATTCTTGTAAACATTTTATATTGCTTGTTGGCACTGTGTGAAATGTGTTTCATTCTCAGTGCAATTTGAGGTAGCCTACATCACAAAAACATAAAAATTATACATTCAAAAAGTTTGTGCAAAACAGACAATGTGCACAGATCATCACATCTTGTAATGAAAACAGAAAAAAAACATTCTTTGGTCATTTAAAACTACAGTAACGTGCAATTCAACAGTAACTTCTTTATCAACTCATCCTGTACTTTCAGAATTACAATATCAAAAAAAAATAAAATAATATATATATATATATATATATATATATATATATATATATATATATTATATATAATATGAAACCTTAGCTGCTGCTCAAATAACAAACTTTTTTTTAACTTTAGTTTAGGTCATGGAGGTGGTAATCCGAGTTGTAGCTTGGGTTCTGAGGAAATTGAGCAGACCGGCTTTGACCTGGGTATTGATGCTGAGGGTAGGGAGGAACTGGAGATCTTCCCTGTGGAGGTGGGGTCATTTGAGTCATGATGGACTTTAATCCATCAAAACATTGCCTCACTACGCGCTCAGTTGAGAGTGTGTTTTCTTCTAAGAATCTTACAAACAACCTTTCTTCTCTTTGCTGCCATCGTTCCTGTTGTTCTTCTATCCATTTGTTCTGGGACTCTTGCATCTTCTGGTAGAAGGATTGCTGTTCGGTGCCCCAAGTCTGCATGGCCCTTGCATAACCAGAGTTCCCTCGTTGTCCTGCAATGATGTAAAACACTACTACTTGCTTGGATGCAGTACTAACATAATCTCTCTAAACACTGTATAAACATTTGTTACTGTTTTTGTCATCTGGAACACACAACTTACTCTTCCTTGATGTCCTCGTCTGTTGAAAGTTTCTTGGACTGTTGTTTGTTGTGTGCTGCTGTCAGCTGCTTCATCAAAGCTGGACTCATCATCTGAAAAAGAAAAAAATAAAGTCTAACTGGTCCCCTGGTATGTTGAAATTTGTTAGGTTAATTATCTGGTTAGTTGGGGTAGTGTTATAATCCACAATATAGGTCTTATGTTCTCTACTGTGTACAATCCTTGGAGGTATAATTATGCTAGCCCTAAAGCTACTCTTGCTTCTTATTATAATTACATTTTAACATATTTGTTGTATCCCAGTTACACCAAGTAATACAGTACAGAGGGTTAATGTGGCTTGAAGAGTATCTTACCGGAAAGGATGCTTTGTTCCGGATTTGCTTCGGGGCTGTAGTCCTCAGATTCCTCCTCATAACCTTGGTCCACACCGCTGCCTGTCGTGTTGGCCAGTGGCCGATCTCTCATCAGTTCGTCCATCAACACGTAAAATGAAAAAGTGGTGGGGTCGGAGCCACTTCTCCCGTTCTTGTTCTTAGCTTGGTAGTACTTAGCTTTCAAGCTCTTCCAGCGTTTTTTTATTTGCTCAATTGTTCGATGGATTCCGGCTTCTTCCAGTTTTTCATGCACTTGTTTAAATAACTCCGTGTTCCTACACTTTCGACCGTCAAGGCGTTCGATAATTTTGAGTTCTTTTAACGTTTCGATTAGAAATGTTGTATCGCTCACCGACCAGTTCTGCTTCCCCGCCATGTTAGCATCTACCCATTAGCCAGGCGGAAAAGGAAACGCGTAGAGGTACGCGCCGCACATGCGCAGTCAGGTCATTTTTTCACCATCAGATAAAAACGAACAGATCAAGTGTTTACATGCGCACCGATCGGGCTACGGATCGGCGTAAACCACCCGTTTCGATCTGATCACAAATTATAACGGATCGCGCCGAATACACAAAAAATAACCCGAACGGATCGTTTACATGACACACTTTTGTTCCGACCGGCCATCTGATCCGGTTACTTTTGTCCATGTAAACATACCCAGTGACAGTGGCAGAGCTAGGGTTAAACACAATAACCTCAGTTTTCTGATCATTAAAACTTAAGAAGTTCGTAGCCATCCAAATCTTGATGCCTTCAAGACATTTTAGCAGAGGGCGAATGGAGCAGGAACTGTTAGGTTTTAAGGGCAGATAGATCTGAGAATCATCAGCATAACAGTGGAACGAAAGACCATGTTTCCTCAGGATAGACCAACCCCAAGGGGAGTAGCTGCAATGAAAACAGAAGGGGTCAAAGAATGGAGCCTTGTGAGACCCCGCAGGAAAGAGGCACAGATGCAGATTACCAACATTAACACAAAAACTATTACTCAGATATGAACGGAATCATTCTAACGCTGCACCAGTAGTCCCAAACCAGTGTTCTGGGTCATCTTGGACTTCAGGAAGCTGAGGTTTGACCCCACCTCCCATCCCCCTCACCTCTACATCAACGACGACTATGTGAAGAGGGTACACAGCATCAGGTTCCTGGGCACCTAGATTTCTGCTGACCTCTCCTGGTCTGCCAACACAAAAGCCATCTTGAAGAAGGCTCAGCAGTGTCCACTTCCTGAGGGTGTTCAAAAGGAATAATGTGTTAGAGAAGCTCATGGTGAACTTCTACCATGCTTCCATCATGAGTTTGCTGACCTACTGCATCAGTGTGGTTTCCTCACTACACTGAGATAGACCGGAAAAGGCTTCAGGGGTAATGGACATCGCACAGTCCATCATTGACTGTGCCCTCCCCTCTTTAAAGTCCATCTTTATCTCCTGGTGCCTCAGTAGAGCCACCAACATTTCAAAAGACAGTTATACCCTGGTTCCCCCTTCTTTGAATTGATGCCTTCAAGCAGATGCTACAGGTCCATCAGGGCCTGGACCACCAAACTCAGGAACAGTATTTTTCCTCAAGCCATCACATTCTTGAACACACACATGCATTGACACACTCATTACAGCTACACACTATTGTACATATTATATTTTATTTTATTTTTATTGTTTTTAACTTATTTAACATTTTTTAACTGTATACATTCAACATGCATGTGTTATGCTAAGCTGTACAGGCACCTTGGGAGAGATTCTGCAATATCGTTATACTTGAGACAATGACCTATACAGCTTCATTCATTCATTCATTCATTCATTAGTTTAAAACTCTGACATAAAAAGAGGCATGAGATATGGATTTCTTCAAGAATGCTAGGTGTTTGATTAGCACTGGATTGGCGTGCTGATAACGCCAAGGTCGCGGGTTCGATCCCTGTACGGGCCACCAGTATGTAGTGAGATAGGTCGGTTAGCTTCGTTAGCTTCGGAGCTCCACTACATGTTATAATATCTGGACTAGTTCAAGTACCTGATATTACACTTAATTTAAACGGGTTCTCTCTTTTTCGAGCTACTTGACCGATATGTGACAGAGATCAGTGACGTGAGACGTTAATTTTCTTTGACCCATCAAAACGAATGCGGTCATTTATTAACAGAATCAAAGTTTAACATCAAACATTGTACACGTGATTATTCTGATTGTACGCAATAACACAACTTAACTAATTACAACAGACATTTCTGAAAATATCTGGATTAATTACTGGCAGATAGAAGAGTTTTAAAGATGGGAAATGAGGGAGTTTATCTGGAGAGAAAAGATGTGTGAGGGAAAATGTGTCGGTATAAGAACGGCACTCTCCATTCGAGCCCAGTTTCACCTCTGTACGCTTCGGTAGGAAATCGACTCGTTACCTCTCTGAAGATGAATCAGCTGGTACGGAGTTCCATTTAACGCTACCATTTCCAGCGTCTCCGTAGGATGGTTGGGAAACGTCCGGAGTAGTGACGGTACTTCGTTCAACACACGTTCACCTCACGGGTGGACTCACATGAGGAGTAAGTCCGTCAGAGGTTCCACTCAGATGTGGAAGATTCCATAATTCCCACGAGACTCGGAAGAACTTTGGATCATGTCTGGAACTCCTTGTTCTCTCCAGCAACTTTTCTGTTCGGTTCTGCCCTCCGAACTGAACTGCTCTCCCACCGCACTGGTTGGAACTAGGAAGTGTCGACATTTAAAGAGTTCTGTTTCCGGTTCATTTGGAAAGTCCTGATTGGCTGAAAGAGCCAATAAGGGGTGTGTTTTTGTGACGCAAGAGGTCACTAGAAGTCAGAAAAACAGAAAAATGTTTTGGAACAGACAGAAAATGTTTTTGAAACAGACAAGAGAAATGTTTAGGCGAGATGGGAGGAAACAGGTGCCAGCTTCTCTATTTACGTCTGAGAGGATTTAAAAACATGACAGTTCGTTCCAACAAACTTGTTTGCGTTTGTCTCCGACTTTTGACCAACTTACAACCTGCTCATTTCAGACAGAAGATCAAGAAAATGAATAATTACTCTGTAACAGACATTAACTAGATTTCTACTTTGAATGAGGATTAAAAATCATTTATACTGTTTCACAGTTGATTTAAAATGAGTAGTTCACTTCAACATTTAAAAATGATTTGAATTAAACACACTTTTGATTATCAAGACATTTGTAAAATAGTAATGATGATAAAAAAAGAGAGTGTTCTTTCAATTGATCAGTGCAGGACACACTTAGAAAGTCTCTGGATGGACTTGATTTTGTGTTTCTGGACTCAAATCAATGAAATACAGTTCTTGTCCCAGGAAGGCCCTCAGGGCCAGATTTTGACCTGAGGCTTAGTTCACTACACAAGTAACAAATTTCAAAATCCATTCAAATGTTAATTCCCTTTGTTTTGGTTGTGCAGCTGATTAATTTGCTCAGCTTATCAACTGAAGATTGATTTGCTCAGTAGGTGAGCACCAAAACAGACGAGCGAGAAGAGTAAATGTTAACAGAAATGCAAATACGAATGTAGAATTTGCCCTTTGAATTGAAGTTTACAGCAACAACCTGACAGTCTTGTCTATTCTGAGACAATAGAGAACCAAAGTGTGTCTCCCTGAGTGTTTACATTCAGTCCTGATTGTGTTTTTCTCTGACATTGCACTCATTTTGTTTTAGGATTCATTCCTCCTCAGACTGAGAGACAGATCAGTCAGAAAAACACAAATTATTCATGAATGAGATATTTGTATCTGCCGCCTCAGAGCTTGCATACAGCAGTGAGCAAAGCTAATTGGCTAATTTTATTTTATCCAGTCTTTATTTTATTCACCCAGCACGTTTCAGACAAACTGATTCTGTTCCTAACCTACCCTCTTCCTTTACTTTTCCTCAGATGTGTTGTGCTGAACATGTTGTGATCAGCTTGCAAGATGGATCCTGAGGAGCTCGAACTGCATAATGATTACCGTTACCGTAACTATGCGGCGGTCATCGAGAAAGCGCTACGAAACTTTGAGTCCTCCAGCGAATGGGCTGATCTCATCTCCTCCCTGGGCAAGCTCAATAAAGTAAGATTAAGAAGATGGTGTCAATTACCTTCTTTGCTTATGATTCATTAGTCTTGTAGTGTGCAATCTGATATTTCAGTATCCTTTTTGTTGCTGATATTTTTACCTAAAGGGTTTTTCCAGTTCTCTTCAGTTTTGTATGTTTTCTATTCCTCTTTCTGTTGTACAACTGTTCCAGTCCTCTTACCATTTACAGGTCCTTCTAAAAAATTAGCATATTGTGATAAAGGTCATTATTTTCCATAATGTAA